CGCAGCTATTCCTATCTATTTTAGATATCAAGAAATTACTAATTACTAAAAAGTTTTTACTTAACTTTAAAATTAAAAAAAAAAAAAAAAAAAAAATCAGTTGACCTATTTCAATATTTAATATAATTTATAGTTTAATTCTAATTTGGATTTCTGAAGAGAGATTAATTTGCTCTGTATATTAATTAATAAAATTAAATTAAAGATGAATGAATAAATGATTTAAAAGATATTCATATTTCTCTAATAATGGTAACTTCTTTTATATAATTTTCTAATTTACAATTATAAATCTTAAAGATTGTTGTTGTCGATTTAAAAAAATTGTTCCACTTTTTAAGGAGTATTATTGCACACATTTAGCAATCAAGTGTGCAATTTAATAAAAATTATTATCGTCGCTAAAATGTCCTAAGCTTTGCAATTAATCAATCTGATCAGTTCCCAACTGTGAGTCACCCTTCGAAACTGAACTCTTAACATGTGGAGCAACAATCGTTACCAGGATACACCATGATGTAGGATGCAGGGACCAGTCTCGACTAGCGTGAATCACGACGGTCGGCATGTGAAAGAATACGAATATAATGTGATACAATACCACGTAGTGTTCTCCTGATGTGGTCCGGGATATTACTAGAAGAATGAGATACTGTCAGAGAATATGATTATCGCATATATTAATAACAGTTACGAGTCTGTGTATATGTGTCTGTGACGACAGCCTTCTAAATCTATCATTATTATATAATTAATGGCAAATCTTATTGTTAGTCTCATGTAATCTTCATTAGCAAAAGTATTCTTCAGGATAAACAGAGATATGAGATAGATAGTTTCAATAAGTAATAATAATATAAAAGAGATCTTTTCTCACATTATTTCTTAATCACTAATATTTGCAAATTTTGCAGATATAAAGTGTTATGTATAACATATATAAACCAGAAGTATCATAAATCATGTAAAGGAAACGTTGTTTCATTGTCATTAAAATAATTTAGTTATTTTACTTTCTGCCCTTCTAATGTAACGATCAAGCTTTCTGGAATGAAAGCGGTCTCTTTTAATTTAAGATTTAACTTTAGGCTATCAGTAGCAGGTTTACTTATTTTTAAATGCCTGTTTCAGTCGTCGTATCATATCATTAAATTGAATTATTTATTATTGAATATTTTTATGCGACAATTCTATTACATGATTTATTATATTTTTATTATTGACAGTATTTAAGTAATACCGTCGGAAATGACGTACTTATTTACATTGAAACAAGATTTATAGTTTGGACGATTCAGTTTGGATCAATCGGAGCTCGATTTATTCAGATTGCATGAAAATCAGGTCGGAATACGCAAGAGCGTCTGGACCAAATATCTCGTTTGCTCTCTTCGAGTCCCGCTCGTTCTGCGTCTATCATCTCCATAATCACCAATCACTTTCTTACTACAGTTTGCAACACGACCCGAAGATTTACTCAGAGACAAGCAGATCACTTAGATTCTTATCGAACAACAAGCGGATAAGTATGTTTTGTTTCCTCTTATTCTTTTTCTTCTTTTCTTTCCTCTTATACAGGAGGAACGTGCGAGAGAAAGCTTCAATGAGGAATCGCATGTGAAAGTGTTCGCGGTACGATCTGAAGATATTGGCTGACGCCGCAAGATTTTGTGAATGTATTATACAATGCGAATTAAATAGTCGAAGTGTGCGTGAAGTGACCGTCACTTCGTTCGACAGAGAGAAGGAATTTCTGAATAATTCTGTATTTTATACTAATATATATATATATATATAATTCAGAATTATTTAGAAATTCCTTCTCTCTGTCTATATATATATATATATATATATATATATAT